TGTGCCCCCCAGGTCGTATCCGAGCAGCCGGGGGGGGATCGGGGAGGGGGAGAAGGAGAGGTGCCAGCAGCCCCCACCTCTTATTTGCTTTTATTTCTTGGCCTCTTGCCCCGGATTCGTGCCCCCCCCCCCTCCCTGTCGGTGTCAGCGCTGTTCCTCCTTCCCCTCTCAAAGTTACCGGCCGAGGTGGGGAAAGGAAGGAAAGGAGCCCTTTTTGGAAGGGGGTCGGCTCACTCAGAGCCCCAAAAGGCCTCCCACCACACCCTGGGCAACTGCCTGGAGCCTCCGGTTGCCCGTAGCCTCCGGTTGCCCGTAGCCTCTGGTTGCCCGTAGCCTCTTTGGCCACCATGGAAGTGTTGGAGGCCAGGCCCCAAAATCAGGCAGGAGCATCCCTGAAGCATCACCAGGGGGATGGCCGGCCCACAGCTCTCCCTCTTCCCTCCGACAGCCAAGAATCGGGCCGGAGCAGGCCGAGTGCTACCGGTTGCTGAGAGTTTTTCCTGAAGAGGCTTTGCTTTTCCCGTCTGGCTCCTCAGGCGCAGCGGCAGCGGAGGCCGAGAGCGGCGGCCGGGGCCGAGAGCAGCTTTGCTCCGGCGCCAGCTGAAATCAAACCACCAGGCCCCACCATCGCCTCCTCGGCTCCATTTGCAGCCTTACTTCGCCGGCCCCCAAAATACACCCAGCTAACCATCTCCCTCCCCCCCAAAACTTAAACCACTGCAGGAGGAAGAGCGGCAAGAGGCAGCTCTAGGAGGTAAATTAAGGGAGGGATAAAAGTGTGTATCCCTAACCCGAGCGCTGGGATGGAGGCAATGCTTCCCTGCTCCCTCCTCCCTCCCTCCCTTTTTTTTCTTTAGAGCCCCTCTCTTTTCATCTGGGTCAGAAGGCAGGAGATACAGTCAGGTTATTACTCTATAAAAATTACTGTGGCCAGTAAGAGGATGCCCTGCTATATAAAAGACTGGTGAGGGCACCAGCCTGCCTTCTTCGCATCCTCACTCAAAGCTTTTTCCCTTGCCCCTGACCATTTCTTCCTCTCTTTCCCATCCTGTGTCTCTTCCCCGGTGTTTCCAGAAAATGAAAAGAAATGCTCCCTTTCTTCTTTGCTCTCAACTTCTTTATGAAGTATTAAAAGAGCAACGGCCAAAGTTTAAAAAATACATATATATCAACAGTTATGTTTTCCTGCTTGCTTTTTATTTTGGCACTGGGCTTGTTCTGGCATTTCGTACCGGTCCTAGTTGTTCTCCCCCTGCTAAGTTTGGCTCTCAGGAACAGAGCTGTACATCTGAGAAGGTTTAAAACAAACAAAAAGTCCTTAAAGACAGAAAAATCTACAAGAAATGAAAATATTTGGTGTGAAAATCAACCAGCTAACTGCAATGTTTTACATACATAAGACAATGAACCCCATCATATTGTCATGGTGCTGTCTCAAACTGTCACATCTTGAGATTTCAGATGTGGGAGATGCGTTTCCTTGGCTGGGGCTCTCTGATTTTGGGTGGCATTAGGTACTGCATGCAGAAATACAATCCAATGGCAGAGGTGGTTTTTAAATTCTATTTAACATCAAAACATGTTTGCAGAATTGAGGCCTAAATTACAATCCCTTTTGTTGTTGGTTTTCAGTTTCCATTACTGTTTGTGTAATTTTGAGCACATATGTCTTCCTGAAATAACAACAACAACAACAACAAAAGTTAAAGGATGGTGTTTTAATAATCCCAAGTTGTATCATAGATCTGACTTGTTAATTTGGATCACGTTAACACATACGTAGGAAACTGGATACATACATTTTGGACAGTATGTTTTATGTCTTATTTACTCAGTAGATAACTGGGAATAAGGTAAGCATGGAAATATATGTTTTCCTTTTCAATGTGTGTGTATTGATTCGTTATACTGTGAGTGGGTTAAAAAGTCATTACGTTAAATGTGGATGTAAACACTTAAAGGTGGGGGGCTGAGGGGTGGCCATAAGTCCCGGGGGCAGTGAGGGGAGCTGTTGGAGACCAGTTCTAGAGACAGAGCTGGGGGGGATCCAGGCTCAGAAATTGTGACAAAATGACTTCCTGCTATAGATAGCATTGCAAACATTGTGAAAAATGAATTGGTTCCTAGGGACTTAACCTTAGGTTTTCCTAAGGAATCACCAAAGTATGCTTCTGTTACCTTTCTGCTTACAACCCATTAAGGTGAAGTAAGCATTAGGGAGCAAGAGCTAGAAGAAGTTTGGCAAGAGAACGTGTTTGGAATAGGTTGCAGGCATTCTCTTGCGAGGATGCTGTTTTCAGAGCATCCCGGGAAGCCTTTATTTATCGGTGTCTACTTCCTGGCTGCTCCTGCTGGAATTTTCCTCCAAGAGCAGTTGTACACTTGATGCCGGACCAAAACGAGGGAAGGTTCAAGCGCATCGCACACATTCTAGCTTGGTTATGCACAGTACTCAATAAAGTGTACAGTAAAAGAATGCAGTGGGAAAAGAAGGAAAAGGAGTGTCACTTAGATCATTTCCAGAGCATAAATGTTCATGTGCAATCCGATGCATGCAAATAAAGTGCCTGCTGGCATTTTTTAGGCTTTCCATTTTTCCCTCTGCAGGAGAGCAACTGAGCTCCGTTGCGTCATGACTGAGCCATCCTTAAAAGTAACCAAGAAGTAACCTTAAAAGTAACCAAGCACGTTTTTCTGTGCCCTTGCCTTAGCTATGGGCACAGAGATGCTTCCTGAGGTTCCCAAAACATTGTATTGCACAGCCAGTGCTCTGTGGCTTAAGCTGGACTCACTATTCTTGGTAGTTGTGCCACACAATTGCAGTATTTCACATCCCCTTCCTGCACCTCTGCAGTCCCGCTCCCTCCCTCCCTCCCTCCCTTCCCCGTAGGAGCAGAAATAAGTGCATGCTAAGATTACCTCACTGCCTATAATCTGTTTTTTTTGATTGTATTTAAACATCTGTATTCTCAGCACAGGACGGCTGCTGTATATACACCTTGCTTTGACAATTTCCTTCGCTTTCTACTGATGCTGGTACTCTACTGGAGAAACATATAGGGTTTTTTTTTTTGTTTGTCTTCTTTTTTTTTTTTTTTAATATCACTTTCACTTGCACTTACACTTTCCTAAAATAAAGCAGCTTCTCTTTGCAGGTGGGGAGTCCAGCAGTAACACAGTGGCTTTGCACAGATCCGTCAGTGTGACTCAGCAGCCTGCAAGCCTGAGCTTGAGTTGCCAACAGTTACTAGCACCTCCTCCTATCGCACTGGCAGGAGTCAGCTAAAACACCACCAGATGCAAAAATAACAACAGCACTGATAACGGTATAGATAAAATAATAAGTGGTGGTTTTTTGCAGGTAGGGTGGCCTGACTCTGCTTTAATGGCTAATTTGTAGCTCAACCGCTCAAGACCACCCAATACGACTATAGGGTTATAAGGTTGTGGGGTTTTTTTTTGGTTGTATATGTTTGGATCTACCATGACGACAGGAAAGGGAAAACTAGTTGCAATAAATCCTAAATGAAAGAATTGCTTGAAGTTAACCAAGATATTACATTGTTCAACTGTTAAAGGAAGAAAAAACTCTGCCTTTCCCAAACTTGTATTTGCAAATTAGTATG